CCCCAAAACCCCAAAACCCCAAAACCCCGTCTTGAATTATTAAGTGATTGACAAATGGTAATTTTAATTTATTATGAAATCAATTTCTTTAATTAATAACCTGCGGAATCTTTTAAGTTAAATGACTCTACATTTTCTTTCATTGATTTCCCTCAAGTTTATTCTACTTATCCTAGCTTTAAACTTCTTATTGCTTTCCTCTTTATAATTCTGCATCTATTAGCTTTTAAATGTATTACATTCCAGCAGCAACATCTTCATCTTGACCATAGAGTAGTGACATATTATAGTATTGAAATGGGACAGCCAAAAAATGCTTGTGATATTACCTAAAAATTCTTTCTACATATGTAGCTGATCCTATTGGCATAGAGGTTCCATTTTTATAATGATTTGGCCCATGAATTTCTATTATCATGTCCAATGAAGGGATGAAGACATCAGCTGTTAAGCATTTAACTTTCTATTCGACTTTTAAATCAGAATATCCAAGTTAAGTCAAAACATGAACATAAAAGCAATGAGCTCTTGAAATTGTAGGTAATCCTGCCGTTTATATAATTTTGTAATTAACTAAATTTTTAGCATCATTATACAACTCTGCAAATTCTTGATTTTTAGGATCTTCTAAGAACTTAGGATTGTCAGTTTTAAAAAGATGGAGTGCGATATCCATTTATCTATAAAATTAGTCTGTCGTAGGTTAACTTAGCATGTAATGATATTTTGCTTATTTCAAAATTGAGGTCCAAACATTAATATCGTAATATCTCATCATGCTGAAGGCCTACAATATGATTGTAACATTCTACTAATACTTGATTCTATCGAATTGTCTGTGTTTTAAGCAAGCTCTAAGAATCTTTTCAAATAGATCCTTCTAGTTCATCCTTGCATTTCTAGTTAAACAATAAAAGAATAGGACCTAGTCACCTTTATTGTTCTCCATCATTTCAATAGTTATATCTGTGAGCTTTTAGAAGACATCTTTTCTAGGAGATCTTAGTTCAGAGAAGGTCTTAAGTAATGAATGAACTGCTTTCGTAGAAACTTGATCGCTATCCTTTTCTAACCTGATGAGTAAATTATCAGCGAAGTAATCAAGAACTTCGTTGTCGTAAGTCAATTCTCCAAATACGAAACAGGCTGATTCGAAAATAGCCTAAAAATCCTTCAAGTTGAGTTACTAGTAAATAGCTATATTAGAGTCTTGAAAAGTCTTCTTAATCCTAGACATATAGCTCTAAAATAATTCATATTGATAAATGTTTAAATACATGATCAAGTAATTATAGCTTAGCTGTTGCCCAAATCATTCCAATAAATGCTCTTTTCTTACTAATATGTGTAAAAAGGTTATCAAATTTAGCCTCAATAGCCTCTAAAAATAGTTTATGCGGGATAGATTCATACATGAAAGCTCAACAAATTTGTATTTTTATGGGAGGTATTCACTATTGAAGGCGAATGATGAAACTATTCCAAATATTAATGGACTGTTAAATCTTACAAATATGAAATAGCATTTCAAATTCCTTTTCATTTAGTCTAAATTCTGGTTCTAAGTTCACTTCTAAATCTGGGCTCATTCTAATTCCTTTTCTCTCTTAGATTTCTAGAGTACTGTCGTCCATAACGAGGAATTTGGCTATTAGTTATTTCAGCTCTTCTTTGTTTTCAGCTAATAATAGGTCATAGAGTAAAGATTACGTTGTAAGTACTTCTAAGCATTAATTTTAGTTTCGCTTGCTAAAAAATTGCTAAGAGTGTAGTAATTCATAACTTCAGGAGGATAGAAATCAGTAATTATATGTCTTATTTTTTGGATAACCTTAACTAAGCTTCTATGATTCCTAACTTCAGGATAATCACTTTATTAAGACATATCAAGAATAATCACTAAATTGAAGTTAATTTGAAATAATTACAGGCTGAATTGACTATTTATTCCTCTTAACTTTGAGGCTAGATATCAGATTAAATCAAATCTAGAGCTTATTCTATTATCTTGCATAAGTCTTAAATCATAGGCTCTGTATTTTATCTTTTCTCAAAAAATAGAATTTATGCGAAATAAAGCAAGTTCCTCGCAACTGTTAAAGTGAGAGATTTATCATTAGGGTCAACCATTTTAATATAAATCTTAAATTCCTCTATCAACTACTTTCCTCTAATGGGTTACTGATTCATCATCTTTATCAAAACGAATTATGTTTGATTTTCCTGGTTCTGTAGAAGTTTGCTGAATAAACTGGATTCCAGATTCTTGCTTTAATCATATTTCCTTACTTAACCAGTAAATTTAGAATTAAGTGGCATATCACTCTATTTATTGACACTATTGGATTGATTATTAGAATTATTGTGAACATAATTTTGTTATAATTTTGATTCATTATTCATTCTTTATTTAATTTTTGGTTCAACCTTCTAATCTACATTTAAAGCTCCTATGGAAGAAAAGTTGATGTTTCTTTGCTAAACAAATATCATCTTGGTCATGTAAGAAGCACTAAGAGTGCTCTTTCGCAATGTTTGCTTTGCTCCTCTGTATATTAAATTTTACCACATATTTATAGTTATTAAATGATATTAATTAAGTTTTAATATATCACTAGACTTAAATTGATTAAACTTTTTTTATATACTTAGTCTATTCTAGGTGATTTCAGATGATGTCATCATGGGGTTTTGGGGTTTTGGGG